TCATAGCTTCTCTGAGTTCTTCAAGCCCCTTTGCCACGGCAAGGCAGTGATCCATGAAGGGGACAGCAATCCAATACACATCTACTAAGAATTAAGCTTTGTATTGAGATCATTGGGGCTAACTCATTGGTAAATGTGGATAGGATTGCAGTTTAAGTATAGCAGCCTTGCCTAGTTTGTTCATGTGAGTTCAGAAAATCTGGTCTACATCTTTCCACATGATGGAATGGCTTGATGAGAGATGTTGGGGGGGGGTATTTAATGTATAATTAAGTGGATATAAGTTTGTAGCAACCACTAAAAGAAATGTTTCTGTCATACTTGAGTGGAACCTTTCATGGGGGTGGGGTGCACAGATGATTAATATATATATATTCTGGGCAAGGTTTTATTCTACTCCAATATACTTTGGATTTTCTTTTTTTAATATATATCCATATATATATATAGATTTAGTTAGCAGTTGTTGTTGCTGCTGCTAAGAACAAACTTTGTTCTCACTGAAGGGTGTGTGTTTGCCTTTAAAAAATTAGCATGTTGGAGAGAGGTCTCTGCCTTTGGCTTCTCCTTGACATGTTAGTTGTGAGGGTTTTTCTCTTTTTTTGCACAGAAGAGCATCCCATCATGTGCTCCCCCACCTGCTGGGCTGAAAGGCCCAGACACAGGTTTGCTACCTCAGGGAGAACCAGGCCCCGGAGTTTCATGGTTTTCAATTTGCAGAGTCAAGAGCAGTCTGCTATAGATCTGGCATTTCTGTTAGAGCTAAGCTTAATTCAGTGCATGTTAACAAATTCCTCTTTGATCTGCTAACTTACTTTGATGTTCACGCTTGTTTTCTCTCTCGTGTATTTGGAGAGCTGTTACATGGGCATCTATATCTACATTGTGTTTATGCTCGCCAGCTTCAACAATGGCCTTAGGAGTTTGCTGCATTTTGCCTGGGGTCAAGGACAACCTTGTTATTTGGCTGTGTCACAAGCATGGTGTGCAATGCTTGTTAGAGCTGCCTCCCAATTCCGCCCACTTTTAAAGCAATGTTGATATTAATCCTTTGTAATAGGACTCGGGGTAACAATCTACTGTTCATTAATCTGGCTTTTCCTTTCTATATTTTAATTACATATTAGTTGCAGGCTTATAAATAGTCAATCACCAATTACCTTCGGCAAGCAACTATGGAAACTTCCATTATATAGAACCTTAGACACCCTATAGTTCAGGAATCAAATTCTCTGTTCTGCCAAGAGTTCTGGTGGGAGGCTATACTATGGGGTAAGGCAAAGGCCTCCCCTATAGGGTTGCTGTGGGGACTACAAGATAATGCCCCAGTTTGGATAGGACACTTAACCTCCAGGTGTTGTTGGTCTCTGTCTTGCCAGCTCCAGCCAACACGGCCAAGGGTCAGTGGTAACGGGATGTGAAGTGGAGGGCACCATGTTGGCTACCCCTGCACTAAACCATGGTTAGTTCAGCTGAGTTCTGGTTGCCTCTTCATCCAAACCTGACCAAGCTTACTAGCCATGCTTTGTTTGGGCCTGCAAACCAGGATCTGAAAGCATCGTTTGAAGTTAGCTTGTGATCTGAAGGAAAATTACATAGAAAAGCATACTCCCCAAAGTGTTTTTGGGCAGGAAATACATTTTAAAAATGAGCATTTTAGGAAAAGGACACACAAAAGGTGCATAGTCTTTCTGAGCAGTTGTTTTTTTTTAAAAAAGAAATCTGCAGAAAATGGACTGGAACAGACTTATACCTGAACTCATGACACAAAATGGAAAAGGCTGATCTACCCCTGCTCTTTACAGACAAGCTCTTACTTTTCAGCCCAGCTTCCTAGGTCTGCAGCCTTGCAAGAGATTTATTTATTTATTAGACCATGAAGTATTTTACTCATTTGATATTGGTGGGTACAGATTTGGGCTACTAGGTTCTGTGGAATTATTAATTAACAATTTCATATATGAAACTGCCTGCCATCTGGCTTCCAAATATGCTGTGAGTCTCCCCACCCCCCCCCACTGCCTTTGGTTTACATGAATTGCTTTTAGAAGAACTGGCAAACCTTCTGCTAGATTTGATGACTGACTTCAAAGTGAAGTGCAGTAATCTCCCCTCCCCTCTCCAAAGTATCACTGAATTGCATCCGCCACAGGTGGAACGATTAGTTTGTTATTCTTGTCGATGCAAACACAGCTGCTCTAAAAAGAAGCCAAGCCAGGGTTGTCCAACGTGAGGGTGTGTCCATTCAGAACCCGCCGCCCCCTTCCCTCTTTGCCTCTCTTCTCACTTCCTCAGCCTGATCTAGATAGAGGCTCTTTGGCGAGGAGAGGAACATTGGAAGCCACTGAGATAACAGATGGTTCAGCATCTCCCTTTGTTGCCTCATTCAAGTACACGCCAAAGCTCGCTCTGACAGGAGGGGCAGGAGCTGCTTCCAACAGCTTCAGCAGCTCAAAAGATTCAGAGTATCCTGCTTGTGGCGCATTTCCCCCTGAAGTGTAAATGGATGGAGCTTTATCTTAAAGAGCAGAAGTTATCAGTCACCAACCTTTTGTTTGAATTAAGTCTTTTGGAACTGGGAAGGATTGCACTTCACAAGCTCAGAGTTCAGATGTCAGCTCATCCTTTTCAGGGTGTGGAAGAACTGCAACTTGACTTTTGCTTCTGTGGGTAGTAATGCTGGAAGATGAAAATCCCTGCCTTTCCCCTCAGCCTTTTCCAGATGAAAACACAGGCTCAAAGACAACCGAGGCATTGATGTGGCAAAAAGCTTTAATTTTCCTGTCTGCATTTACAAACGAGGTCTGTTGCAATGGAGATTGTAAATGTTCTGATGCAGTCATATGCTTTGTTGGTTTTCTGGTCTGGATGAAGCCAAGCAGTGCCAGCCCTACCATTAGGCAGAATGAAATAGCCACCTCAGGCAGCAGTTGCAGGAGGGCAGCAATGATGAGTCCTTCCAGGTGTTCTTGTCCTCTTTGGCCAAGCAGCTATGCTTGCTTGTTGCTGATTTGGGCAATCTGTCTGTCTCATTGAATCCCTTCTCCCAACCCATCTCATAGTATAGTTGAGAGAGCCCCTTGCCCAGGCAAGCAGGGAGAGAGGCGACCGGGCCACACATCCTGGCAGATGCCACACCTGTGTCACTCTGCTCATGTGATGCATGGTGGCATTGTTGCTGCATCTTGCAGTCAGTAGCAGCTGGTGGAGTGGCACAGGTGACACTCTGTGGCTCTCCTGGCTTTCCAACACAGCTGCTTACCTGGAGGGGAAGAGGCAAGATGTGGGGAGCTCAGTGGAAGGTAGAATTGGATTGGCTCTGTCACCACATGCTGAGATCCCTGTACTGAGCTCCTCACCCTCCTGGAAAGCAGCAGTGACCCACAAGATTGGTAAGCTAGGACAGCAATGGACACCCCTCCCCCACCACTACTGATAACTCTGAGTTGCCAGGCAGTGAGTTGCAGCAGTAAGGTGCTGGAGGGCAGTATGCCAAGTGGCCAGCTCTATATCCCACAAGCTACCTTGCTGCCCTCCAGGTGATGTGCTGTTGCCAGAATTCAACAAGCAGTCTGATCAGCTTCTGGAAGCAGTATAGGGGTGAGGCATCATCTTACCCTTCATCGCGCACGCTGTAAAATATATTGGGCCAGCCCTGAAGACAAGGCTGTTCGACAGGAATGTTAGAGAGATGGACTCCTGGATGAGATTCAGGGTCCATCTGGTTCAGCATCCTGTTTCTCAAGGGGTCCAGCCAGATACTTCCAGGAGGTCCAAGTGGGGCATGAAGGCAGCTGCTTCCTCTCTTTGCCCCCATGGAGATCTTCTCCAAGCAGTAGGTGAGATGTTTGTGGTGGGGGCTAGGGAAGTGGGATTTCTCTAACATTCACATGGATGAGCGGAGTCAGAAAACCGCATAGGGCAAATTTGCTTTAGAATCTGGATCTTTGACCTCAGTGGATCCTGAATACTTTGGGTCTAAGATGCTTTCAGACAGCAGGGGGGTGGAGTGGGGCAGAAAATACAAAAAATGAATAAAATGTAGCTCTTTCCCAGGCAAATTAGAGGGAAAGATCCCTAAGCTGCTGAGTTGCATCAGATGCTCTGTAAATGAATACTGTGGTGTGAGTGATATTTGCATGATCATGACCATTAGGTTTGGGTTATGGCAAAGAGTCAGAAGACTTGGGAATTCAGTTCTGTGCCAAATAATGAATGATAATTTATCCAATTTAGGATCTGGAGGCTAAGTTGTGGCTGATGAATTGACCAGTGTGGTACATTGGTCAGTGTGGTACATTGAATTTTCCATAAGGCTCACCATCGCCATCTTGTGTCACATTGTATATTGCACTTAAAACATTTTATTTGCTGCTGTATGGTTGAGTCCCAAATAAGAAAGTGAGCACACTCTGGCTGTTCAGATATACTGATTGGCGGTGTGTTCAGATATCTGAATCAACGGTTTGGGCATACTTTTTATGTTTGCATAAGTGAATTACTCTCTTATTCTTAAGTCTTGAGCTTGGCAGGGGGAGGGCACAGCAGGCTGCCGCCGACTGAGTCAGATCAACCGTCCATCTTACTGAGTAAGATGACTGGTAGTCTCTCCAGGGTTTCAGCCATGCCTGGAGATGCCAGGAACTGGACCTGGGACCTTTTGTGTGCAAATGACTTTGACCCTTCTCTACTTTGTGATGGTACCAAAGTCATTGAATGATTTCATGGGGGCAATTTAATTCTTTCTTTGCCGGTGTTTAGGGGCTACATCATAGCAGTCCTCACACAGGGGACTGTTGGAATGCTTCAGCAGGTTTTTATGGATAGATTGCCATTGACTGGAATTGTATTAATTCAGTCTGTTTTTAAATGATATGCTAATGCTGTGTTGTTTCTAGCATGCTTTGTAAGCCTCCTTGGAGAATGTAAATTCTTTTTTTTAAAAAAAAGCTTTCTAGAAATGTTAAATAGCAAATAAATTATGTTTTTGTTTCTTGCAGTCTATCCGAGAAGTCACTGGCTATGTTTTGGTAGCTTTGAATCAATTTGAATACCTTCCCTTGGAGAATCTGCGCATCATCCGTGGAACTAAACTCTATGATCGTTCTGCATTGGCCATCTTCCTTAACTACAAAAAGGATGGTAGCTTTGGACTCAGGCGACTTGGACTGAAGAACTTGACTGGTAAGGGAAAGACCTTTTAATAGAGCTGTTTGATTCTACTGGCAGGTGAGCTTGCTGGTCTTTCTGTGTACAAGAAAATGTACACACAAGCATCCTGATACTTCCATACAGGTGTTATCTTTTTCTCCCAGGGAGCCTGTTCCTTCAATGGGAGCACTGACAGGCAGAAATTTGGTAGGTGAAGCTTTCCCTAGAATGGCAGTGCAGTAATGGGAAAAGTTTTATCTCTTGCAATTTCTCTTTGTACAGATAGGTAGCCGTGTTGGTCTGCCATAGTCAAAACAAAAAAAATTCCTTCCAGTAGCACCTTAAAGACCAACTAAGTTAGTTCTTGGTATGAGCTCAGAGTAATACCCTCCCCACCTTCTCACTATATAGAAGGATCTGGCAACTTCTGTTTCAGTGTATCTGAAGAAGTGTGCATGCACACGAAAGCTCATACAAGAACTAACTTAGTTGGTCTTTAAGGTGCTACTGAAAGGAATTTTTTTTGTTTTAATTTCTCTTTGGTTTTCCTCACTTTCTCATGTTCAGTTCACATGATAATCATCAACATTTTAGTGATAATTCCTAAATATAAAGTTTTGTATGCAATTTTTCCCTAATATACACATTTTTTGCGAAGCAGTTTCCCTAGTAATGTATTTTTATATGTTATTTTTGTAATTTATGCACCCGTATGAACATTTTACCCAAGTGTGTGTGTGTGTGCGCAATGTATGTATGTATGGAGAGAGAGAGAACACAGATTACTCAGCTTGAAGGACTACACTGCAATATTTAGAGAACTGCAAATTTTGAAGGATGGCTGTGTTTCATTTCTTGTATTGCTTCAGATAATGCAAATTAGATAGGTTCACCTTTAAATGCAAACTGAATTGAATTTATCCCTCATCATGAGTTAGAGGAAGTGCTATTTTTCTAGAAAAAGATGTGCCAGAACTTACCGAGAACGCCTCCCTTGTTCTCTTATAATGGCATGGCGCCTACCTGAGTTCTGGCTGAAAAAAGCCCTGCTTAGGGGACATTTGTTCATTTATTTGTTTTATATTGTGCTCTTCCTCCCAAAGCAGCCCAGAGAGGCAAACACACGGGTGATATTTCACCGAAGACCATGGAAATGACATCTAATGGCTTGTGGGGGGGGGGGATCAGAGAGTGAGATGTCTGGTAGAGTTATAAGTAATTGATTACAGGGCAGACAAAGCTCTTCTCGGGGGCCTGAGACACATTGGCCCCACAGGGTTTGTGCGCCTGCAGGCTTGTGTGAACTAAAGCGCATTTGGATAGCGCCTGACGGGAGATCTCCATTGTGGTGTTCAAAGGTGAGGAAAAGCAAGAATGTATCGTACATAACTCACTTAGGAAGTGTCCCGTATTTTCAAGTGAGTGGAGATCAGTGCTTGTAAATGATGCATGTGAAAATAAGTAATGCTGTTTGGTTTTTTATTTTTATTTTAAACTTGTTGGCTTTGGGATGCAACATGTTTCTGTATGTTTTGGTTGTTGTTTAGTCGTTTAGTCGTGTCTGACTCTTCGTGACCCCATGGACCAGAGCACGCCAGGCAAGCCTGTTGTCTTTATCCATGGAGTTTTCTTGGCAGGGATACTGGAGTGGCTTGCCGGTTCCTGCTCCAGTATGTTTTGGTAGCATCCCATAATACAGCAAAGAATTGCCTGTTTTAAAACTAGTGCTGTTCTGAAGGTGCCTCTCTACCCTGCAAGCTCCATTTTCTCACTGTGAATGTAGAGGGGGCACTTTCCCCACTTTTCAGGGGTGAACTGGCAAAATTCTCACAAATTTCAGGACTAGGGGACTTGATTTGTAGCACGCAGAAGAGGCTTCTCTCCCCCCCCCCCAGAAGCCGTTTAGCTGTCACAGAAAGAATTTGCCGTGCTCTTAGTGATGTCCATCGTCTTTTCACTCCACAATGTTTCTACGGAAGGACACCCTTCCAGGAGCATTGGGGGGGAGGGCACATCACTGTCCCAAGTAGATCAACGGGGTAGCCCTGTTTCTCCTCCCAGGGGTGCTCCATGATCTTTTCACAGCAACATTGTGGGGCAAAGCAGCCGGAGTCATCTCTCAAAGTCCACCGCTGCTTCCCATGGGAGTAAAATTGTGCACACATACATGTGTTTTGTGTTGTGAACTGCACTGTGATGGGTGGTATACTAATTTAATTAGTATATAGTCTGAATATGGGTCTATTTATTTCTCAGGCACTGATTATTCCCTAGTGCTCAGCAAGGACGGCAATGGTTCCTTTTATCCTCGTTCTTTAGTGTGTACAGTTCTATGCCTAATTGCTTGTGTGTGGTCCAAAAGGCTCACTAAGGTTTGTGTGTTGCTTCTCCATGGTGTCATTCCTGTGCCCTCTTCCCAGGCAGGCTCCATTAAAAATAATTGCATATGGTGCTTGGTGTATTTCAGCCTGAGGAGATACTAATTTTCTATTGTGACATCTTGCTCAGGTCATTGTGATACGATGGTCTGGGGCAGTGACACAGCCACAACTCAAGACCCATTATGATTTAGAGCATGGTTTTCTTTCTGCAGCTTCCGGTATTTTCTATGGCTGGCCCCAGAAAGGTTTCTATAGTGATCAGGTCCAAGGCAATATTATTCGGCCAGTAGATTTAACGGGCAGGGAACTGCTTTGCACTTCAAATAATAATAATAATAATAATAATAATAATAATAATAATAATAATTAATTTATTTATAGCCCTGCCCATCTGACTGAATTTCCCCAGCCACTCTGGGCAGCTTCCAACAAAACACTAAAATACAATAACCTATTAAACATTAAAAGATTCCCTAAACAGGGCTGCCTTTAGATGTCTTCTAAAAGTTTGGTAGTTATTTTTCTCTTTGACATCTGGTGGGAGGGTGTTCCACAGGGTGGGTGCCACTACTGAGAAGGCCCTCTGCCTGGTTCCCTGTAACTTGGCTTCTCGCAGTGAGGGAACTGCCAGAAGGCCCTCGGCGCTGGACCTCAGTGTCCGGGCAGAACGATGGAGGTGGAGACGCTCCTTCAGGTATACTGGACCGAGGCCATTTAGGGCTTTAAAGGTCAGCACCAACACTTTGAATTGTGCTCGGAAACGTACTGGGAGCCAATGTAGGTCTTTCAAGACCGGTGTTATATGGTCTTGGCGGCCGCTCCCAGTCATCAGTCTAGCTGTCGCATTCTGGATTAGTTGTAGTTTCCGGGTCACCTTCAAAGGTAGCCCCACATAGAGTGCATTGCAGTAGTCCAAGCGAGAGATAACCAGAGCATGCACCACTCTGGCGAGAAAGTCTGCAGGCAGGGAGGGTCTCAGCCTGCGTACCAGATGGAGCTGGTAAACAGCTGTCCTGGACACAGAATTGACCTGTGCCTCCATGGACAGCTGTGAGTCCAGAATGACTCCCAGGCTGCGCACCTGGTCCTTCAGGGGCACAGTTACCCCATTCAGGACCAGGGAATCCTCCACACCCACCCGCCTCCTGTTCCCCAAAAACAGTACTTCTGTCTTGTCAGGATTCAACCTCAATCTGTTAGCCGCCATCCATCCTCCAACCACCTCCAGACACTCACACAGGATCTTCACCGCCTTCACTGGTTCCAATTTGAAAGAGAGGTAGAGCTGGGTATCATCCGCATACTGATGAACACCCAGCCCAAACCCCCTGATGATCTCTCCCAGCAGCTGCATGTAGATGTTGAAAAGCATGGGGAAGAGGACAGGACCCTGAGGCACCCCACAAGTAAGAGCCCAGGGGCCTGAACACTCATCCCCCCCACCACTTTCTGAACATGGCCCAGGAAGAAGGAGCAGAACCACTGTATAACAGTGCCCCCAGCTCCCAGCCCCTCTAGATGGTCCAGAAGGATGTTTTTGTTGATGGTGTCAAAAGCTGCTGAGAGATCCAACAGAACTAGGAAACAGCTCTCTCCTTTGTCCCTAGCCCGCCGGAGATCATCGACCAGTGCAACCAAGGCAGTTTCAGTCCCATGAGGCCTGAATCCTGACTGGAAGGGATCCAAATGGTCCACTTCTTCCAGGTGTTCCTGGAGTTGTTCAGCAACCACTCGCTCAATCACCTTGCCCAAGAATGGAAGATTTGAGACTGGGCGATAATTGGCCATATTGGCAGCATCTAAAGATGGTTTTTTAAGAAGCGGTTTGATAACCGCCTCTTTTAGCGGGTCTGGGAAGGCTCCCTCACGGAGGGAAGCATTCACCACTCCACGAAGCCCATCGCCCAGCCCTTCCCGGCTAGCTTTTATAAGCCAGGATGGGCAAGGATCAAGGAGACAAGTGGTTGGTTTCACTTGTCCAAGCAGCCTGTCCACATCCTCAGAGGTAACAGATTGGAATTGATCTGACACAACTTGACTAGACGGGACTCTAGCACTCTCCCGCCCTGGTCCTGCTCCCATGGTGAAGTCTACCTCCTTCTGAATCTGAGCGACTTTATCTGCAAAAAAACTTTGCAAAATTATTGCAGGAGATCATGTGGCCCGTACTGGGCCCCGATGTAGCAGGTGGTTCTGCTAAATTGCGAACCACCTGAAAAAGTCTCCTGCTGCTGTTTTCTGCAGATGCAATAGAGGTGGTGAAGAAAGTCTTCTTCGCCGTCGCTACCGCCACTTGGTAGGCTCGACATTGAGCTCTAACCCGTGTCCGGTCAGCTTCAGAATGAGTTGTCCGCCACCGACGCTCTAGCCGTCTCAGTGATTGTTTCATTGCCCTCAGATCCGTGGAAAACCACGGGGCTGTCCAGGCTCCATGCAATCGGAGAGGGCGCTTCGGAGCCAAACAGTCAATAGCCCTGGTTAACTCCACATTCCAGCGGGCCACCAGGGAATGTGCAGGCCAATCCCTGATAGTCACTCCTTCAGCTGTCACTTGGCAGTAGCCATTTACCCAGGCGGGGGCAGGAGAGTTGGGGCAGCAAATCAACTTTACTAAGAGACCAGATCCATTTGGCTCCTCCTCCTTTCCTTGAA